TTAGTCTGAAATGCAGGCACTATAAAAATACAGACTTTAGTTTGGTGTGGTGGTTTCTCAGAAGGTGTATAGGATAGATTGGAAATTGAGGGCTGCCACTTGCCAACATGTATTTTAAATATTGTCCCACACAGATAGGCCTTAGGTTGTTTGTCCGGGCGCTGCTATTATTATTATACATGAGGCAGCAGCCACTGGCCGACGGCTTTCTTTATTTGACTGTCTGGATTCATTTGCTTGAGCAGAAGATCCAATTGGCATTAAAAAGTGGACCAACTATCCTTTCTAACTTTCAAAAGTGAATTAAAAGTACACACGTATATCTATTTTGATAAATATTAAAAACATTATTCAATGTAAATTATTTGCCATGATTGCAAGGTTCACAGTGAATTTGAAGCATTCTTATGATTTACTTACTCTTAAAGCTGACACTTGTTAAGCTAGATTTAATCTAAAGATATAAAATGTAGTTCCCATATGTTGTGGACAGTAGGGTTGAGCATGAGATTCAGAAAATTTTGAACCGTTCTAAAAACTGAACCGAAATTATTTCGAACCGAAAAATAACCATTGACCGTTTAATTTACTCCGAACCAAAAAATAACCATTGACCGTTTTAATAAACTCAAGATTAACAAAACAAATTAATTTTATCTATCTATCTATATCTATATCTATATCTATACTACTTTAAAAGTAGGACTGTTTTACTTTAAAAGTAGGACTGTTTTTGTAAAAAATCATAATGCCTAAAAAGCCCTTACTACTTTAAAAGGAGGAGTGTTTTTGTAAAAATTCATAATGCCTAAAAAACTCTTACTTTGATATAAATTTAATGGCAAATTAGTAATACACTAATACACATCATATTTTATTTACATTTTTAATTAAAAAATGAACTACGTAAAAAACTCTTACTTTCACATGTTTTTAATGACAAATTGGTAATATACTAATGTCATCATATCTTATATCCTCCCTATATATAATTTACATAACTTTAAACAAAAATAATATAACTAATATAATTAAATATAAACCTTTTAAAAATATACTTATCGATGTAATCGAACTGAGTTGTTAAACGCTTGTTAGTTTTTAGTTCTTATTAATTTTATGTGTAAATTTGAGGTGATAGACAATAGTCATTTGTACATTTATACATGTAGATTAGAAAAAAATCTTTATTATTCTAATTTTAATTAACTTTTTTATTTACTATATTAGTTTTTTTAATATAATATATATGTACATATTGAACAGATAAAACAAGAAATATTTTAATTATATAATATTTAATATGTAAGAAATGTAACTCAAATGGTAAATTAATATGTAATCTTGGGATAAAATAATGAGTGATTTCTGAAAAAAAAAAATATAGGAACTAAAAAGTTCACTTGTTTAATATATTTTTAATAGAAAAATTGTAAACACAATTACTCAATAAATACTACATAAAAAATTTAAGAAATCTTTTATCATCCCTATATATAATTAAAAAACATAACTTTTCTCAATTCAACATAAGCAAATCAATGAAAATAATATATTTTTAAAAAATTTGAACAAAAGTTGACCCGACAATATTATTAATGAATTTATGAAATGTAAATTGTTTGTCCCATTTTTTTTGCTATTTTCGTTGATATTATGTGTGTCGTTTTCCCCGTTTTAGGTCTTTTCTTAGGTATTTCTGGCCCCTTTTGTCGTTTCTTGCGTTTAATCTTTATTTTGGTGTGTTTAGTATTTTCTGTGTTTTCGTTCCTATTTTCTCTGTTTTTCTTCGTGTTCGTCCGGTGGTGCGAATTCAGGTTCTAGGTTGCTCAGATTCGAGAGCATTCAGACGAGAAGAGAAGCGTGCTGATCAGGCATCATTTTGTGGGCCCAAACATGCGAGAATCGAGTTTCCAGCTCAGGCAGTACCCGAGAGACGCTAGCCGAGCATACAAGCCCGTGATGTGAAGTTTTTGATGCTGTCCAGACCTTAGTGCCGCTAAGGCATCTTAGCTCCGCTAAGGTCAGTTGGTTAGCGGCATTTTATGTCTTAGCGGGGCCAGAGAGGAGCAGCTAACGAGGCTTAGCGGAGCTATGGAACCTTAGCGCCGCTAAGGTGGATTAGCGGCGCTAAGGTGGGTTAGCGGCGCTAAGGTGGGTTAGCGCCGCTAAGATCTAAATTGTAACAGCTGCGGGATTCTCGTGATTTGAAATTGGGGACGGATTAAGGTCGATCTGAGGGCCTTGGGGACAGGATTGAGACTTCGTTTTTATTTTTTTTGTACTTTGGACACTCTTAGAACACTTCTTCTCTTGGTTTTGGTTTGGATTTAATCTTGAAGGTGAAAAAACCTCAAGATTTAGCTTTCGGATTTCGTTTTCGGATTTGGATTGCTCTTTGTTTTCGACATTGGTTTTTCTTATCAATCATAAGCACCCTTTCTCATTTAATTATGATGTTTTGTGTTTGGATTGCTATGTATTCTTGTGTTGAAATTGCTATGAGTGGCTAGATCGTTAACTAGGGTTAGGGGATAATTGTTCCGGTTCAATTTTGTTTTTGAGAATGTTGATTGCTCTATCTATTCGAGTTATGTTAAACCTAGGGTTAGATGATTGATCACCATCCTAATTCATTTAATCGATTTTAGAACTGAAAGGGGAGAAAATCGATCGACCTCGGCTCGTATAGAGTAGGCTTGTTCGGAGAAGTATTGCCTATGTGCTAATTGACTTGATGATTGTTCGTTTATATTTATTCTCTTGTTTCGTGAGATATTGAGGATGAATCTCTAGATGAATTGGTCTTTAACTCTGTTAGCCGAGTAATTGATTCCAGCTAAATGCATTGAGAACCGGAAAGAGTAATGAGTGTTACAAGATTCGTGACGGTAAAATTGATTATTTTCCTCACAAAATCACAACATCAATTTTTGGGATTTTCTTAGAGAAAATCAAAATGAAAGTACGTACATGGTCGAGCTTATAAAGCTCTCACAATCATGCAAGACGACAACCTAAAACGACGTCGTGTGCAGTAACCTAAACGACGTCGTACAAAGCTTTAAACAGAATTAATAAAACAAAACAGAAACGGCGTCGTTTACAGTGAGAACGACGCCGTCTGAAGCACAAAGAAAAAAAAATAAAAATAAAAAACAAGATAAAAGCTGGACACGATTTAAGAAAAACTCAATTTGAGAGAGAGAGAGCCATGCATGCTTAAGAAAACTGAAGAGCTGCTCATGATCTTCAACAGTGACTGTAAAAACTATGTTATAAGGTAGCGAAATACTTGGAAAACGAAACAACAAATCGTCGTTGTAATATAGTTGTGAGTATTGTCGCATGTTCCTTTTGGGGGATTTGGATTATAGATCAGTTTGGGGTATAAACAAAATTTAGTGAACATTGGTTCTGGTACAACTTGTAAAGGTTATAGTACGTAATTTAACATCAAGTCGTTGTAGTATAGTGGTGAGTATTCCCGCCTGTCACGCGGGTGACCTCGAGATGCTCCATACGTCGTCCATCACGATCAAATACTTTTGACCACACAATGTTTTATATAAATATAATATTACTCCTATTTCACATTCCTTCATTTTGCTCAACATTTCCCTGCTCCCTATGACTTTCAAACAAACAGTTGGATTTGAATACAAATTTCGAGCAATGCCACCCATGCCAACAATGGGGAGGATCTGCCGACCCGAGTGTTGTCCGAGCAGCTTGTCCATGGCTTCGAGCAAGGCATCATCGAGACCCACCATGGAGCCGTGGGGCACGGAAAGGGGGTCTAGGCCCGCCAGCTGGCATCGAATAGTTCCTCTCCAGCTGGCCTCCTATGTGCTTCATGATCTCCTCCACGTCTTTCTTGATCAAATCAAAGTCATGCGTCACTTTCTCCAGACCTTGGTGATACATGTCGACCGGCCAGATATTTTCCTCACGGGTCGTGGGTTTGCATAGAGCTCGAAAGAATCTAAAGAAACTGAATTTGTTTTCATTATTAACACTTTTGGCATTTGCAGCTTGAATCTTGTCACGGATAAGTTAGGTTTATTTAGGGATAATATTTCATGTAGTTATCTTTAGTAACTAAATATTTGATTTGATTTTATCCTTATCTCTTGTAATCTCTATATGTACCCTATAGACTTGGTTTTTACGAGTAGATGAAAATAACAGAAAAGAGATCTCTTTCTCCATGTCTTCTCTCTTTATTTCAGCATGGTATCAGAGATGTGAAGAGCATCATACCTAATTTATTTTTACAAAACATCATATTCTTTGCTTTCATCATGTCATCTAGCACGGGATCTCAACCAAATTATAAAACAATCTCACCATACGACATCACCTCGAGTGATAATCCCAGTTGCATGATTTCTACGGTTCTTTTCACGGGACAAAATTATATCGAATGGTCCTCATCGCTCCGGACCGCTCTCCGGGCACGCAAAAAATTCGGCTTTCTCGATGGCTCTATTTCCAAACCGGCCGACAACTCCCCGGTCCTTGAAGAATGGTTCGTCAATAACTCGATGTTGGTCTCATGGATAAAGAATACGATCGATCCGGCACTCCGCCCTTCCATTCCTCAAATTGAACTCGCCAAAGACCTGTGGGATCATCTCCGTCGCCGTTTCTCCGTTGTTAACGACACTCGAATTCAGCAATTGAAAGGTGAATTAGCCTCTACAGTACAAAAAGGTATGACTGTCAGTGCATATTATGGCAAGCTAGGCATGCTATTTGACGAATTAAATTCATATCAACCACCGATTGCGTGTACCTGCGGCCATGCTCGTGAATTTGAAGCTCGGAGAGATGCAGAAGAAACTCACCAATTCTTACTCGGTTTGGATAAAGAAGTGTATGGGTCGGCCCGCTCTGGTCTTTTGGCCCAAGATCCTTTACCCTCTTTGGATCGAGTTTATTCGGTCATCTCACAGGAGGAAAGATTCTCCTCCCCTTCTGCTCCGACCGCCGACGCCATGAGCTTCGCCACCTCTGCAACCCGTCAATCGTCTTCCCGTCCTCCGCGTTCTTCTTCTTCTGCTCGACAGTGCCTTCTCTGCGGCCGATCTGGACATGAAGCCCCAAATTGTTTTCGGGTCAAACCCTGCCCTCACTGTCATCGTACGGGCCATGACCCTCGTCGCTGTTTCGAGGTCGTCGGATATCCGGCGGGCTGGACAGGCAAGTCTTCTTCTCCGGCGGGGCAAGGGCGATCGAGCGGCGCATCTCCTTCTTCTGCTGGGACTGACCGAGGATTACTTCCCTCAAATTCTGCCAAATCGCACGCTACAGCTCTTGTTAGGGCCAATTCTGTTGGGCCGAGTCTTGATGGGCCTAGTAATATTGGTAGTAATATTGGTCCTTCTCTTCAATTTGGCACTTATAATGCTAATCATGTCCCAGCTGGTACAGGTTTGAGCCCGGAACAATGGCAAGCATTGGTAAATATCGTACGCCCAAATAAATCTGAGACTTCCTCTTCTACCAATTTAACTGGTAAGGATTATTCCCGTAATTGGATGTATGATTGTGGCGCTACACATCACATGACCGGATTTTTTCAATACCTTGTTGATATTTGTGATATTTCACCTCGACCAGTGCAGCTTCCTGATGGGCAATTAATTATTGCGACTAAAGCCGGCAAAGTTCGTCTTAGTCACAATTTGGTCTTGCTTAATGTTCTATTTGTTCCTCGTCTTAAATGCAGTCTCATTTCATTATATCACTTATTGGATGATCATGGGTGTACATCCCACTTCACTAATGTTGATTGTCTGATACAGGACCGTACTACGAGGACGGTGATTGGTCTGGGTGAACAAAAGGGGGGGCTATACTTTTTCCGTGATCCTATGCAGCCGGTAACGGCTACGGTATCTGTTGGCGGATCTGTGGATTTGTGGCATCAACGTTTGGGACATCCAGCCCCGCAGGTTATTGGGAAACTTTGTAATTTAGCCCCTGCTCATGTTAGTAGTTTTGACAATAAAGCTTGTGATGTCCGTCATCGTGCAAAGCATACTAGAGATTCATTTCATTTGAGTGACAGTACCAGTTTGGAACCTTTTGCTTTAATTCATTGTGATTTATGGGGTCCTTATAGGGTTCCCTCTTTTTCTGGAGCTAGATATTTTTTGACAATTGTTGATGATTTCTCTCGCGCTGTGTGGCTTTATCTGATGGATGACAAAAGTTGTGTTTCTTCTACTTTGACTGATTTTTTTTCCATGGTGAAAAGACAATTTAATAAATTGGTCAAAGTTGTCAGAAGCGATAATGGGACTGAATTTATGTGTCTCACTTCATATTTTCGACGTACCGGTATTTTACATGAGACATCTTGTGTAGCTACTCCTCAGCAGAATGGTCGAGTGGAACGCAAGCATCGTCATATTCTCAATGTGGCGCGTGCTCTGCGTTTTCAGGCTAATCTGCCCATAGATTTTTGGGGACATTGTGTCTTGACAGCAGGATATTTAATCAACCGTACTCCCACTGCAATATTATATGGGAAAAGTCCCTATGAGGTCCTTTTTGGAAAAGCGCCTCCTATTTCGCACCTTCGTGTTTGACCGCGCATCGCAACGCGGCAAAATTAAATTTATATTTTCCTTAACTAACCTCTACTAACTAGTAGTAGTGGCGAGCAAGGGTCGAACCCACAGGGAGTGTGAATTAAATTGTGAATTTTCTCGTATTAATTGAACTTAAGAAAGCGATAAAATAGGGGGGATTGGATTTAAGAACTAAATAAACTAAAATCTTAATAAAGCAAATAAAATATAAATAAAGAAAATAAAAATAAAATAAATAAGATAATTTTCTAGTTCACGGTTCCGTTTACACCCTCGACTGACTCGTCTAATCAACTTTAGAATCAAATCTCGCTATCTCATGAAATTACTAGCCCTAGGCAACGACACAGTCTGTTACCCGAATTTTTCCTTATTTTTAATCCAACCGCGAGACGCTCTACGATTAGACCTGACTTCTTGTACAGTCCAAAAAGACGCTTTCGATATTTAATACAATTAGCCGCTTTACGTATTAGAAAAATAGGCTAGACTAAGTAGTGACGCATTCGTTCACTTAAATAGGTCGTGTTATCCCCGGTAGTTACCATCTTCTGGATACCACTTGCGAATTAAACACATCAACAATTACGGATTGAAAGCCTAATTCAGGTGTAGATATGAAA